CCACAGCTCATAACAGAAAAGGAATACACACCATTAGAGGTGTCTCTTAAAGTAATAAAAGCGTTGCAGAGCCCAAATGACAGAACGCTTTCAGGACAGCCTCACACGCTCAGAGATTAACAATTTGCTGCGTGTGTCTGACTGACAGTTCCTTTTAATAAATAGAGACTTCCTCAGCAGAAATACAGAACGTGTCCTGTCTAAAACCAATTATAAGCGTAACTTTGCTGCTTCACAAAATGTAATTCCTATAATTGAACCACCTTTTTTTAATCAGAGCTGAGAGAAAAGTGTTACCAGGAAGACACAGTTTTGACGTCTACCTATGTAGGGATGGGAGACGAAACCGGTGTTCTGTCCTGAGTTGTATGCTCTGACTACTGCGCACGCGCACAACGTCCAACCATAAAACCATTTTACGGCTGGAATAAAGTGCGTATCTTTAATGAATAAGTAATACTACGTTGACTGTGAACACAAATCTGACAAAACACCCAGCCAGACGTGGCAGACGCGGTCTGAAGGATGGTTGAACTTCACAAAAAGACACTGAAAGATTGTCAGACAGACAGAGTTTGGAATAAAAAAAGAGGTGGGGAAAATACTAAGGAAACGTTAGGTTTTCTCTCTCGGTGCAGAGTTAACATCGCGGTTTTCGCTGTTTTAAATAACCGGTTAACGTTAAACATCGTTCATCCAGGTCATGCCCTGTGGTAAGACTACAGTGACTGAACCGTGTGTATCGTCTGTCGTTACAATGACAATGATTTTGGGTTTCCTTCACTCAACAACAAATAAATATTTGGAGCATTGCGTGTTAGCGTCTGTTTGCCGAGTTTAACGACAGAGACAGACAAATTTATCCAAGGCAACTCAGCGCTGCCTCAGGTTCATCTCACATACCATTGTTAATTAAACATTCTTAATTTGAAGAGACTTGATAAATACCTGTGTTTATTTCTGCAGGTTTTGTTATTTGTTTTCCTCCCCTAAATCATTGGAAATCTTGTAGGAAGTTGGATCAATAAGCGATCGAATTGGTTATTTGTATCAGTTCTCATCCTTATGGCTTTATTTTTAAGACCATATTGTACCTACACTGCAAAAGAGGACTTGAAAAATGTTTAAAAATTTTAATTTTGTTTTTAAAAAAAAATACAGCAGAGCCTTACTTACCAGACAGTTTTGAACTAAAACAGACCAGTAACAATAATAGAAATTTTCAACGACTTTTTCTCTACAAAGCTACAAGCTCAGAGAAGCAAAAAGTCAATTTACTTAGTTGAGAGTTTTTGTCAGATTTTGAGGTGTTTTTGTCAATTCAGAGGTTAGACTTTTGTGTAAAAACAAATGAGTCTTTCTTTAGTGGCTGAATATCTTTGCTTTTTTTCTCTGTATTGTCTTTGCAGCTGGTCACAAATATCCTGGCAATGACCTGTAAGTTAAAAAGCTGAGAGCTGCTTGGACACAAGAGCTATTTTGTGATTTCTAGCCTTGATCTTTTTCAGTCTCATCTGAAAAAGCTGTAGGTTGCCTCTCTTTTATTCAGTAACATTTATTTATTTTACAGCATTGACCCATGAGATTTTTGTTAAAAACGTGTGTCTATCTCTGATGGCTTGAAAAAAACAGACCAGTTTTTACTTTTTACTCTGCCTAGTCGACGCTGAGTAGCAGTAGCTGCAGGATCTGCTGCGGCGCCACTGTTTACTGCACCTTAAGCATGCTCGGCTAAATTCTTTAATAAGCTGTCACAAGGTCTGTTGTCTTTCATGCTACATAAAGCTTTCTCTCCTCCTTGGCAGAGAACAGCAGGAGATCTGATGATCAGGAACATTCAGCTTTACCACGCTGGCAAATATATCTGCGTGGTGGACACGGATGTGGAGAGCCTGTCGGCTGTGGCTGTGTTGATTGTGAAAGGTAAGAAAACCTCTTTTCTGCTCTGCAGTCACTAATTACGACTGTCTTTTAGAGGAAATGGAAGAGAAAAGAAATCAGACTTAACTCACTGTGGCCTAAAAACAACCAATAGAAAAGGGGAATATTGGTGGCAGTGTGAGAGGATTAGCAAACAGACAAAGTATTATTAAGAAGCTGTATTCAGAAGAAAAATAATGTTGCTTTTCAGGACATGTTGTGCTGGCATATTCATTTTATTTGTTTTCCAGCCTGCAAAAACAAATGAAATGACTGAAAGACCCATAACTTTATGAGAATCATTTTAGAAAACCAGCATAAGTCTGTTTTTATGTCTTTTCTTATTTCTAGGTTTTGCATGATAAGCTCAGATAGAGGAGGCTGATTTTATTTTATATTCCACTCAGGGACTCAAAGTACTTCAGAAGACAGCGTAAAAATCATAGGAACTCTAGGCCCGCCCCCCCCTTCCTCTCTTTAAACGTACAATTTCCAATGTTTGCTGCAGTGAACTTGACAGACGAGTGTTTGGATGCCTGTCTGTGCTCACTCATGCAGTATGTATAACTCCGCAGAGACACGGTTGTTGGGAGCTACATTGAGCAGAACAAAGTACAACAACTTTTTACGACGTGTTTTAAGGGTGCGGTGAGGTTTGTAACGCGTGAGGTGAGGGATGTCATGTTTCCAGCTTTAATCAATAGGTCAAATAACCCAGCAAATTGACACAACATATGTGAAATGTCAGACGAGGTGAGGGATGAATCTGGTGTCAGGATGTGAAAAGGTTGGATCCATATCATTGTCTTGTAAGTATTCTCGGCGATGATTCAGTTGGGCACGTCCAGGGGCTGCAAGGCAAATGGCAATAATGAGAGCTTCGTTCTCAAAATGCCTACAACTAAGTGGATGTAATGCTGTTTCTTAGTAGGTGCAATATCTTGGCCCTGGAAATGGATTGCCCTGTTATTGACTGGAGAGAAACTTGTTGATGACTCAGACTGTGCATTATTTACACGTCCTGCTCAGGGCAGCCGTCACGGGTGTCTCATTGTGTGGATCGAAGGGCTTCAAATGTTTAGCAGCAAAGCGAAAACAGTTGTAGAGGCCAAAGTTTGGCTCCCTCCAGTGGATCCTGGCCACACGTCAATTAGGAGCAGGATGATCGTTGATGATCACAACCTGGCCTACTATCTTTGTACCTACGACCCGTGAAGGACAGGGGTCACACCTTATTACAATGTTCTGCTCAGCACTAAGCACATACAGCATACTGTATGTGCAGCACAATATATGTTTCAAAATGCATATAAGTAGACTTGAATATAAGCTGCATCCCAGCTGCACTTTTTAAAAAATAATGTATACATATATATATATGTAAAGTCAAATCATTGTCATTGTACAGACAGACAGATAAATATATATGTAAAAATGTATGCACAACATTGTAGCAATTTATTTCATTTAAAAAAATATTTAATTTTGCACAATTACATATAAATTGTAATAACCAATAGTGTGCCAGAATTACCTTGAAAAAAGAAAAATGTTAAAGTAATTTTTGATATATCATGACGCTGCCCTCTGTCTGTGTTTTCGCTATTTTTGGATTGGCATTTGTAACACTTATTGACCATAGTTACACATTGTGTAGATGTTAACAGTAGCCTATGGCAGCATACTCTTCCTCTTATTAATTACCACGTGTTTAAATAATGATTTTAATTAGTTGCATTGTTTTTGTGTTTGTTCCCCTAAGAAGAGGAAGATAATAAGAATGCCTTTAATTACCCCAACATTGTATTTTATATAAACATAATTTAGCATTGGAAAGGGTGGAAAGGGGAAAAAAAATCATAATGTAAAGTAAAAATGAAATGAGGTAAGTTAAAAAGTGACAATGACACTGTCTTTCTGTTTATACTCTCTAATAAAAAAAACATATTTTGGATGTTGTGCAATTTTGGCATGTTTAATTCACTCTGATCTCTTCTGACAAAGAGAAATACCGGCGCACAAATCCTTGACAAATTAAAATAAAATTATTCTGTTAGGTGTCAAAACATTCAGTCCTACATCATTCAGTGGCTGCTTTACACCCACTTCAGAATGCAATTTTAATGTTAAGACAACAGTGTGAATAATGCAAGGCTCATTATATGACTGTGATGGTGATTCTGCTGCAGTAAGTGTGGCTGCAGGAGCAGAGTACAAAGCAGTGTTTCTCCAGTGGTGGGTCGTGACCTAAACATGGCTCACAGGACTTAAGAACTACGTTTATATCTAAATACAGATGGTGTCGTCATGGAAAACATGATTTTTCTTAACTTTTGGTTTGTTCTGCCACCACTGGAATTTACCATTTACTGTATTTCATTAAAGAATAGGAAGACATTTGATACACAGTGTGTAGAGCTGTATCACTTAGCCTATGGGAAAAACTGGATTGATTAGTCTTAGACAGATTATATCAGAAGACAGCCATCTAAGTGACAGTAATTTTGAATCAAGTGTCAATAAATCCCTCGTTACTGTGTAATGATGTCATCTAATGATCATTATGGCGTGGACACATACTTGCAATATTTGCTATTAGGCTACTGACAATGGCTAAATATTTAATCAGGATGTAATTTGCAATCTTAGTGTCACTTATTTACCCTGAGACAAAAGGGAAATGGATGATACCTCATATCGTCCAGCTGATGTGCAGTACAGCAGTGGTTCTGGAGAACTACCTGGTGGTGGAATATTGTCTGGAATCGAACCAACAACGCTCCAGTTGTAAGACGACTGCACCAACCCCTACAGGCACACCTGTCTGTAGCTGATGGTCACTATGAAGAATTTCACTTCTTCTAACACAATACTGGACGTGTGTGTGTGTGAGACTCTTATATTACTTCTGTGACTGTTGTTTACTTTAACTTCTGACATATGAGAAGTCAGTGCTAATATTGACTCCAGAGCCAAACCACAATGTCGGTTTGAGCAGGTTCATATTAAAAAAAAGAATTCAGTCACATATTCATCTGGTCCTTGCCAGGTCCACTCCAATGTCCAGGACACTGAGTCCATATTAATACCCGATTATTCCTACACCCTGAGGACACTGACAGGACCCTTCAGCCTCAGCCCATGAAATATAATTAAGAGGATAAAAGAATCGATCCTGGATTCTTCACGCCATGATTGCGTTACGTATTAATGATCCCTGAATATGAAAGTGTCTTTTTTATTATATCAGGAGCTGATAATGAGGTTCACACAGATCAATATCTGTGAGTTAACAGTCTGAAGGCCACGTGTTTATGTGGA